GATAAAGAATAAAATGAAATATTAAAATCACAATGTATCTCACTGCATTGCGCGAGTACGCTTCTAGTATATATATAAAGAGTGTATTGGAATCATAAAATATTTAAATAATATAGTTAATGATAAAATCTCTAAAATAGAGTATCTGTTGGAATTGAATGTAAATTATTTTAAATTTTTTGATTTTTTTTAACAACAATAATTTATCGCAATACGACAAGCTAGGAGTACAAGAGAACAAGGAAACATCAAACCAAATCTCAAGGATTACACCACCACTTCTCCCAAGTAATGACCTCCTTTTTAATTCTATTTTTAACCCACAGAAAAGAGGTCGAAATCACCTTGGACCCGATGATGTTGGATGGGGCCCCTTTGTTGTTGAAGATGGTGAATTCCGTAGTTGCCAAATGGACCAAAAATCAACAGCGATGACTGCTACCAAGATTGAGACCTTGACGGTTCTTATGTTAATGTTACCTGTCGCCTCTAGTAGATGATGAATAGAACCAACCATATAGGGGAATTTGTTACACCAAGAAGTGATCAACGCCCTGATTTCTTTGCTAGTTGAACAATAAACAAAAAGGTGGTCTTCTGATTCAACTGCACCGCAGAGTAACAAAGTGGACACAAGTCAGAGTTGAGCCAAATGCCTCTTCTAATCAGATCCAATTTAGTCATTAATCTGCCCAATCATGTCCTCCACAGTAGTAAGTTGACCTTGCCGGCACCAAGCGATTCCAACTCGTACTTTGTCCAAGTGCGGTAAGGGAGGAGTCGTCAATCACATTCTTAACCAAGGAAACAGAGAATCCGCCATCTTTTTTCAGCTTCCAGCCCGAAGACCTATTGTGCACATTAAAAGAGAAGGATCATGTAACATAGTATTATAAGTTGATGACTCTTTATCAAGCTTCATGATGGTGCTCCAAGTCCCGCCCGGATTGCCCCTCTCCCCTCTCAAGACCAGACCCCCGTTAGGACCAAATAAGGAAGAAATAACCTCTCGGTAACCCCTCACATCGGCTCTAAAAATCTCCACCACCACTTTCCAAGAAGGGATAAGTTAAGAGCCCTAAGACTCCCAATACCAAGCCCGCTGTGCTTTTTGTTATTGACGGTTGAGTTCCGAGCAACCCAATAGATTTTATATTTATTTGCATCCCCTCCCCAAAAGAATCTCGCCCAAACAAATTTTGACTTTTAGTTCGCTATTTTAAAGAAATTATATAGAAGTTGTTGGATACGCTCTAATTCACTCGTTCATTTATTAAAAAACACACATGGCTTGTGTTTTTTGCTTGGTTTTTGGTACCTTGCGCTTCAAACAATAGATACAAGTCCATGAAGCACAAGGATGATTTCTAAGTTTTCGATGTAACGGCATGGGCCAAAAGTGGAGTTTACTCTGATATAATATAAAACAATAAAAAAGAAATGATTAAAATACTCCCACTTTAACAATCTAATTAACGACTCTTAGAACAAGATGACGTATTTTTAATCAGCCAACTTGAAATGTCAAGAGTTTTAATATAATTTCGAAATTATAATAAATGCTAATTTATAAAGTTTAAGAATAGCACATGAAATGAAAGATTTTTGTAATTTACTTTTAAAATTATTGTGTATTAAAACTGCAGTCAACCCTTTCTATGCTTTCTCTTTTTACTTACCATCATGTTTGATATAGCCATTGACATAAGGCATGTAAATTAAGTCAACTACATTTTTTTGAAATAAAAGAAATTGTCTTTTTCTATTAACCTAGATATCCAATCCACTATACGAGCCGACTAATCTCAAGGCGACCATCTGTTTTGTAGGTAGTCCGGAGTCATCGTATTTGAACTTTCGTAACTACAAGAAGATTTTTATTCTTCATTGGATTTGAACCTACGACCTCTAGACAATTTTGACCTTTGAAGTCCAAGCTTAAACTAATCAGGCATCACCCTTCTTGATGTTTTTTTTTTTTTTTTGCTGCATTATAAATGTGATATTCATTTATATTTGAGAAAAATATTGAAAATTAGTTTTTAAGGAAAGAAAAATGGATATAATATTATACGAATTTAAAATGTGCGCACCGAACATAAAATTCCAATTTTATTAATATTTTATTCAACAAAAACAATATAAATGGTCGTCCATGGCCTCTTTCAGATTTGTCTTTTCACATTAATCCACCAATATAGACAGCTCATTATAACTGTGTGTTTTAGACGGAGAAAGGCCAAACCAAAGACACTCGGAAGCTGGTGCATCAACACTTTCAATTCTCGTAAACACATAGTTACATTGTTCATATACAAAGGACCGATGGGTGCTGGTTTTTCGAGCAAAACATCAAAAGCAGAGCTTACGAAGAAGACGATAAGAGTGGTGCACCTGAATGGTTCGCTAGACGACTACCAAGATCCAGCCACGGTTGATCAAGTGACCAGTAACTTCCCTGACCACTTTTTATGCAGTCCAATCGAAATTCTCCAAGCTGGGTTGGTACCCCTCAAGCTGAACCATCAACTCACATCGGGTCAAATCTACTTCATCTTCCCCAACTCCACCCTTAAATTCAATTCATCTCCGGTGGACTTGACCTCTCTAACAAGGAAGCTCACCAACATAGCCAAAACCAGTCACGGTTCTACCAAGTCGGTACCAGCAGCAAGTCTTTCGGTTAACCGGCGGTTACGCAATCCACAAGCTAGAAAGTGTGGTGAGAAGGGAAAAAAGAGCATGCTAAAATCGCGTAAATTGCCTTTGTGGAAGCCGAATTTGACTACGATAATAGAGGGCTAGCTAGTTTAATCAAACAAATATACGATAATAATTTTTTTTGTCGAATTATTAAATTGCGAAACAGATCTTCGAAAGTATAAACTTATGGGAAATCGTTGATTTGTACAGTCGTTATTTTCACGCCTTAATTTCTTCTTAAAGATCAATTGGTGGAGTAGCTCAAGATTATTTAGACACAATTATGACAAACTTTACATTTTCATACATGTTAAGTATTATATATATATATATGGGCCTAATCATATGAGAACTGATTAGTTTGTGGTAACTGTGAGTTCCAATCTCAAACACAAATCAACGGATAAATTAGAAAATTAATAATTATGGTAATTTGAGTTAAAATTATAATTATAGGGTATATATATTAGATATTTTTTTAAAAATTCCTCTCTCCTTTTTCATCTTTCCAACCTCTAATCTCTGGCCTCCAATCTGCCGCCTCCGGTGAAATCGGTATCATGTACAGTATATCACAATGAGTATCACATTATGTATTACAATGAGTATCACATTGTATATCTTTGTTTTTAAGGTTTGAGTTGGTATCATAGTTGGTATCACAGTATATAGGAGCGATCAAATGAAAATCGCTCTCTGTAAACCATGTAAACCAATCTCATCCATCTATTTTCTTGATTAACGGTCAAGATTAGTTTAGGTTATATTAGGAAATTAAAAAAAATTATTTTATAATCTAGAGTAAAATGGTAACTTTGGTAGTGGTAATATTAATGACAACCATATAATGTATATCGTAATATTAATGAAATAAAATCATTTGTAAAATAATATATTAATTTTATGTTCAAATATTATAAATAAAATTACATCCATCATTAAAATAGATCAACAATAAAAATAAAATACACTATAATCAATTTAAAATGGTTACTTACAAAGCTATTGAAATGTTAGTATGAAACTGTTTCACAAGGGAGTATATGGTTACTTACAGAGCTATTGAAATGTTACTATGAAACTGTTTCACTTGTCCGATGAGATTGTTACTTTACAAAGATATTCAACTGTTACTTGTTAACATGAAACTGGTTCAATAGTAATCCTGATGAAACTTGTTCACTTGTAACATGAAACTGTTTTTTATTATCTTTCCTGAAATGGTTTCACTTCCATCATGCACACTATCCATCATGCACACTATTCATCATGCACCCATTTCATGATGCACTCATTCCATGGTGTACTCATTTCATAATCATTTTCACTTACTCCATGCACCAATTTCACCATGTATGAAACCGGTTTCATCATGCACCCATTYMATAATCATTTTCACTTACTCCATGCACCAATTTCACCATGTATGAAACCGGTTTCATCATGCACCCATTTCATAATCATTTTCACTTATTACATGCACCAATTTCACCATGTATGAAATCGGTTTCAGAATATTTTTTTTATTCTATTACTGATTTCATGGATTTATTAATCTAATAACTTACGATTTTCATGAAGCTTGGTAATAATAAACCGACACACAATATAACAAAATCCAATTCTTAATATTATAATTTAATTAAATATTTAAATGCTACCATTTATAAAATTTCCTTTATTATGTTATCTTAATTAATATTTATTAAACAAAATCCAATTCTTAATATATATATATATATATATATATATATATATTATGGGAAAATGTTCAAATTAGAACATATTCATTTTACCAGAACGTGAGAACACCCTTTTTACTCTAGTAAATCACATGTGATACTATACTTTTACTACTAGAAAACTGGGTATTTCCGGCGGAATTCCGACGAATCACCGTCGGACAACAAAAAAGTCAACTTTTGTGGACTTCCGCCGGAAAACAGCCAGTAAAATTATTCTGGTAATATTTGCGGAGGATTTCGTAATTAATTATTTTGGACTTATATTTAAATCTAATTACAATAATTTACCGACGGATTTTCGGCGGATATTTAATTAATTTTTTAAAATTAAGATCCGCCGGAAAGTAATTAAAAAATAAAATTTATTTTTAAAATTTTCTGGCGGATTTCCGGCGGAATCCGGAAGGCCTTCAGTAATTCGCCGGTAATAATTATTCAAGATTTTAAAAAAAAAAGTCTAATGATTTCTGGCAGATTTCTAGTAGCCTTTCATTTTTTTCCCATTTTTCAAACAATGTCCGTCAGAAAGAAAGATTTTCGGCAGATATAGTCGTCGAAAATGTTACCTTGTTTGGTAGTGTTTATCACATATGATACACATGTGATCTTAAATCAAAGACATACATACGACCTTTGGCGGTTCCTAGGTTGCGGGCCAAGTCGCTCGTACACCACTAGGCCCCTACACTTGTATTATTACACGTGGAAGAAGTGTTCTTAATGTCATACTATTATTCATCACATATGATACTAAATCAGAAATATAAAAATTTTTTGTTCCGACCTAACTAGGTCGTAGGACATCTCATCCATACACCACCAAGTATAAAAATGTTTTTATATTCTCGTAAAATAATATGATTTTAACACTTTAGCAGCGCTCCACCCTGGCAGGACCTGGGGAAAACAAGTGATAAAAAAACGTTGACTATTTTTTTAGTTGATTGAATTAATCATATAAACATAGTCAACTACAATTTTAATGCAAGGGGCCTTTCAATAACCCTATAGTCAACTACAATTTTAATGCAAGTAGGATTGTAAAATAACATATTGTGAATCGTTTGACAAAAAATTTATTTATGTTCGTTTATTTAATAAATGAACGAACATGAATTTTTTTTTTGTTCATTTAGTTAAACGAACAAACATGAACAAGAGTGTCTTTCGTTCATTTATGTTTGTGAATGTTCGTTCATTTGTTTATGTTCGTTTATATTTTAAATTTTAATACAATATATAATCTTTTATTTATTTAATTTGAATTCAAATAATATTATTTAAGTTTTAACT